AATTTTTTTTTTTTTTTTTTTTTGGCGTATAAACAATTAATAAGATTTAGTGGACGAGAATAGGAAACAGAAAACAACTGTGGGGCGCTTTATAGACGAAAAGTGAAAGATGGAAACAAAAAAAAAAAATGTGGAGAGTAATGTAAAGAAAGGAAGAAGAGAAGGGAAGAGGAAAGAAGAAGAGGGGTAATCAAAGAGCGTTGAAGACGAAGAACGAGGAAGGAAAGGAGTAACATGAAAAGGCACCAAACATTTTGATGATATTACAAGTTCCATCTTGAGCAAAACAACTTTCTTTTGGTTTATTCCTTAACTGCAGGACACTGTCCATTGACAGTTGAAAAAGCCATCCCAGTATTGTTATTTCTGTTTCTGTCTTTCCTTCTGCTTCTGCTTCCCTGTGAATTTGCGGAGCAGCAGTTTGAGAAAAAAAAATGTTTAAAATTTTTGAACGATTGTTTATCCATAGTTTCTTCCAGCGTTTTGCACTTTGTGTTTTGTTTTTTGCTCTTCTTCGTCTTTAATTTTTGCTTTTCAGTGGTTTTGAAAAAAAAAATGTCCATTTATTTATGTTTATTTCAACGTGGAAGTGATAGTCTGTCTTTTTTCTTTACCATTTTTTCTGTTTTGCAGGGAAAAACTAACGAAATTTATTGGTTCTCTTGAATCAGGGTTATTTTCCCTCGGATTTACACTGAAGCATGAGTCTTGAAAAAGACTGATCTCTGTTACCACTTTTACTAGGAGCAAAATTAGTAGCACCAATAGCGGCAGAAATGGCCCAGCATCGACAACCGGTGTCAGCCTCTTAGTTGTTATCGAAAATCGCTTTTAGAAGATGCCTATCTTCTCCCATTCCCTTAAAAAAAACTGCAGCTTCATGTTCCTTTTTTCCTCAAAATATTTTTTGTTTTTGTCATTGATGTATCATTTTGAAAGAGGATAAAAGGAATTTTTTGCCATGATTAGTTGTGAAGAAAAAAATATTTTTTTTTTTTTTTTTGTTGCTGTTATTGTCATTTTGTTTTCTGAGGCGTTAAGGGAAAGGCGGAACAAGGCGGGGAGAAGACCTTTTTTGTACTTTGTTTCAAAAAGGTGCGTTGAGTGATAGCCTCTTAATTGCGGGCAAACAGACTTGACGGTTTTCTGCTGTTCTTACTGTTCCTTGAAATGCTTCTTTTAATCACCACTTTTTTTCACAAAATTCTGAGTTTTAATTAAGAACCTTTTCAAGTGACATCGATAAGAAAATGAAGAAAAAAAACACAAGTAATTGGGAAATGCATGAAAATCTGAAGCAGCAGGAAGTGAAGAAAAACTGCTACTGCTGCTCTTTTGGTTGTTGATGCTCCACTGGTTTCAGTGTAGTCATCATTGAACAATAGTGATCTTGGATTATTTTCAACCTTCATTTAGCAAATCTGTTTCTTCAGTCGGCCACCCTCTCAGTTGTGGTTAATGCTCATTAGTTTTCATTTCCAGCAGTTGACTGATCAAGATTTTTAAATATTTTTTCATTGTTTTCTTTTTTCTTTTATATTCTGGATCTATTAATCGTGTTATGCAAGCAATTGATAAACCACTGGATAAATGACAGTTTTGAATGGTCAGCTTGATCACTGTTCATCAGTATTTTTGACCTTTCAGAGCCAGATCTACAATTTATTTGCTTTTCTTTTTTTTTTTTTTGTATTTTCCTCATTTTGTAGCAAAAATAAACAGAGGAAAAAAGAAATTTTTTTTTGAAAAATTCAAATTTTACGTCATTGTTTAGATAGGTGTCTAAAGTTATTTTGTGGTACACGAATGAAATAAAAAAATCTTTTAAAAAAGGAAGAAAGTAACATTTGTTGAGCATCAGCCAAACCTGGCTGATCATAGTGTTTGCATGATGACCGGATTACCGGTGGGTATCTGCCAACGTTTATCTGCATCATTCTGATGGCATTTGAAACATTCACTTGTTCATTGCTTAAATTAATAGGCTGTAATTTCACAAGTGGAATGTCATCGTCGTTATAAATTAAACAAAAACGTTTTTTCCCTAACAGCTGTTTAAGCGACATGTTTTATTTTTTTTTTGTGTGGCAAATGGTAGTCGTTGTTTTAGTGGTTTTTTACTCCGTTTATTCCCTAGAAAATTTGGCTGATTTTTGATCATACGTCATTGTCAAAGCATTTGAATCAATGCAAATAAAAAAAAATTTTTTTGAGGAGAAAAATGGTTTGTTGGGTGACAATGTTGTGTTGCCGTCCACAATTGTTGTAAGTTGTCCATGTCAAACATTTGTTGAAAATATTAAATAAAAAATGTTTTTTTTTTTGTCACTGATGTTCATTTTTGTTGAATTTTTTTTAGCTTTTTTGTTATTTCCGTTTGATATATATGCCGACTCTGGATGTTGAGAAAAAAAAATTTTTTTTTTTTTGAAATATTAATTGATTGTTCAGTGTTATATGGTCAGGTATCGAAATGCTGTCTTCTGAAGTTGCCCAGATAGGCATTGATGGCCCAACAATGCATGCCGAAGATACTCAAAATGGGCATGCAACAATGAAGGGTCAAATGGATTTATGGAAAGCGTTGGCGATAATCGGAGCATTTTATTGGGTAATTATGACTGTTGTTATTGTACCTACCGCTGTGATCGCAACTTTCATAACAGTTATGGTTCCAGCTTTACTAATTAGGTGTGTTTAAATTTTACTTTCTGGAAAACAGCTTGTTTTTATTTCTATCATCTCTGTTAGCTGTGTTAGATCAGTGAACCTCGATTGAACACTATATGAATGAGCAGAAAATAAGGGAAAAAAATTATACAAGCTTTTACTTCAGACGATAAAAATTTTTATAGGATGGTGTAACCATTGATTAATGATATTTCTTTTCCTGGTACGCAAGTTCATTTTTAAAATTGGTCAAAGTATTAAGTATATTTGGATTGATTGTAGTGTTCCGCTGCACAATTGGATTGATCATAAAATGTGCAGAATGGTCAATGATCACTGGGTGGCTGCTATTCAGAGTACGGGTTTAAATGTCGTTGAATATGGAGACGACATTTCAAAGGTACAAATAATTTTCACGCTTCACATTTTTCAGTAATTCATTGTCGTCTAATCGGTTGAAAGAAAAAGAAATTTATTCAGCATCTGTGCTTTTTGAGGATTGAAATTTACTGAGTTTAAATTTTTTTTCTGTTCCATAAATGGTCAAATTTGCTCAACAGAATGGATGCTATAGTAATTTAGATTTCTGAAAAACGGGTTCTACTACTGTCGAATCATCTCGGTTTGATGGATCATTTTGTAATTATGACAGCTGTATTTGATAAAGGATCTATTGCAGAAAAGGTTAGTTGATTAGCTGTTTACAACTGAATTATAACTGTTGTAGAAACCAATGCGGTGTTTGAGTTACTTATCACTTAAACAGTTATTTAATTAACGTCTTTAATCATGCATACATGTTTTCAGTATCTTTGGGTGATCTTTAACATTTGGAAAATGACACCGTTGGGTTTAATGTGGCAAACACATGGTAACTTTTTCATTAACGGTGGTGCATCAAAGCGAGTACGAGTTTTGGAACAGTTCAAAGATCACCTAAGAAGTAATTATTGGAAATATGAACATAGCTGGATTGTCATGTATCCAGAGGGTATGGAGTTTATCGTACTTTTCTTCGATTCCTCAAGTTTTTTTAAACAGCGGTGGTTGTGAGGCAGTAGTTATAGGATCACGATTGTACCTAATCAAGGAGAAGAGCGCAAAATTTGCTGCCGCAAACAAACTTCCACCATTACGACATTGCGCCTTGCCCCGTACCGGTGCTGCAAAAGCGATATTGGATGTTGCAGGGAAGGCTACAGAAGGTATCAGTAAAATGGAATTTTATATAAAGTTTAACTATAGAATAATTTGTCATTTCTTAGTATTACAAAAACCAATAATTTTTTCAATAATGTTTCTCCCTTTTCGTCTCATTTACTGATTCATTTGTTAATGTAATGATTAAAGCTTAAAAAAGCACAATTTTTGCTTCTTACGGGATTGAGTAACTTTTATCGTAAATGAGTGAAGGGGATGAAGTAAATATTGGTGTTCAATTACAGTTTCATTAATATCAACTCTTTGAATATTGACGTTGGAGAAGAAACTTGAAATTATCTATTTTAAAGATTTTGGACACTTATATTCTGTGTATTTTGAAAGAGAGAAATATTTGCTTAAAAAAACTATAGTTTCCAATGATTTGTGAAGTTCAGTTTAGCAATATTGAACAGTGTTAAGCTGAAGTGCACAGTAAATAAAGCTGGTGCATAAACACTAGGTTGGCCTAAAGGAGTTTAATAAGACGGTTGCAAAAACTCTATCGGGGATACATCAATGAGTGGTAAATCTTGAATTTTCTGTTTGTTTTATCATTGCGAAAATCTTATCAGGTTCAGGGTCAACTGAAAATAAAACTAGAAAAGTTAGCGACAACAAAAGTTAGTGAGAACGGTTTATCGCGTCAAAGTTTACCGCGACCGCTTTGAAACAAATTGGTTTACATGCCTTTGAAGAACGCTCGTTAAACGTCAATATATGCAAAAGTACAAGTACTGAGTTCAATAAATACAGTACATAAATCATATTAGACATAAGACCAGTCTGACCAGCTGTCTTTTTCTTGAGCTCTGTCAGGCAAAGAAGTGCTATTCTTGGTCACTGACCTTAGCATTTTTTCTCATTAAATGTATTTGCAAACAGAAGTAACATTTTTTACGACGTAATGAACGAGTTTCTTGCGGACGAATTTGAAAGTTCTATGAGTTCATTCATATTACGTTCCTTTTTTTAACAAGGTTGGGTTTTTAACAGTTCCTCAGTTTCCTTGTTCAGCAACTTACTTATTAGAGTTAGGCTGCACAGCTGCGATGCGTTACTTGCCCATAAATTAGAGATTGAAAAGAACGAGGAAAAAGAAATACAATTATAGTAATTATACAACACAACTTTTCTTGCAAATGAGGAGATATCATGCATTTGCCAAATTGAGGAGTGTCATAAGTAGCTGACATTGTGTTTTGTTTTAGGACCTATGTTAGAGACTGGGAAGTATAGCTTAGCAAGTTGTGCTTGCACTGTGCAGCACCTGAATGCCATCACTCATTTCATATTAACCGCTTTTTTGCGGAACTTATATCTATATTTACAACTACATTACCTTTTGCTTTAAAAATTTTTTGAACCTTTAATGCTGCTTTGATCCAGCAGTTTTACACGGGCGAACTTATTCCACCACTACCGTTTCTTCAACCATTCGGTGACTCCGTTATTTGAAAATTAAGAATTGACGAGATAAGCTTCAACTTGACGCTACTAGTGAAGAAGCTGTCCCTGAAATGAGCGCAACTACACTGATTTTTTGGTTAGGGTTCAGTTAAATATCAGTTTAATAAAAAGCATAGCTAAACTTGTTCTAGAAAATTGTGAAAGAAATTGTAGTGAAGCACATTGGGTTAAAGTACTGACTGATACCTGATATTCTGCAGAAGAACGATAACTTACAGTAGTTTAATATATTACACGCTAGACTACTGCGACTAGTAAAACATGGTTTCTTTTATGTCCTTTAACTTCACTTTTTTTTGTATTTCTTCTCTTTCCCTACCCTCCTCTCCGCTGATACAGCTTCTGAGAGAAGATGGGACGGAAGACGGAGGGAGAAGAGAACAAAGCGTTGGTGAAAATGAGAAGGATTGCTTATTCCTCTTGATTAGAATAAGTGTGTTTCGCATGAATGCAAATCCTAATATTTAGCAGTTTAGGCGTTTCTGAGGCGTCTTGTTCAAAGTAGATCTAGTGCATATCTTTGGTAAGGAATAGACTTATTTTTCATTATTCCGTCTCCTTCTAAGCAATCTTTACTACAGTCAGTTGAGTATGTTGGCTAGTTAGGTCTCATAAACTGTTTACTTTTTATAAGTCCTAGCAGTTCTGTTTTCTTTTACTTCTTGTACTACTGCCGGAGCGATCTAAGGGTGGAAAATTGCTGTTTTTTGGTGAATTCCTCAGGAATTAAGTTTCATAAGGTCCCAGGAGTTTCACGTTTAACCAACTTTTAAACATGGCAAGTCTAAATGGCATAGTCATTTTTTGAATTCCTTTTTTATTTGCAGAACAGCCCGACGGTGTTCCAGTATCACGTTCCGGATCTGAAGCACCGATTGACTACGTTGTTGACTGTACAATTGGGTATCGTAACGGAAATGTTCAAAATCTTTTAAGTTACATGTGTGGCGAAGTACCAGCAAATGATTTCTTCGTCGGAATTCATTACAAAGTAAGAAAGTCTTGGCTATTAATTGCAAGTTCTTGAAATTTTTGAATTGCCGTGTTAGGAGAAGCTGCTAGCAGTTGTAGTCATGTTATCACTTTGGCAATGTAACCTCTTCTGTTAAACTTGATGTAGGTACAGAACTGTTGATAAAGACAGACATAGGCAACTCTGAAAAGATTCTAGAGCTTTTCATGGCGCGAATAAGTCATTACAAGTTTTCTAACCTTAGTGTTTTCCTCAAGTATGCAGTAAAAAAGAAGAGATGGGAAAAAAATCAAAAAGAAACTTGTTTAGATTCACCCCGTTAAAGCTGAATGGGCCGACGAAGAGGTTTTGAAGAAATGGTTATATGATCGTTACTATGAAAAGGTCTGCTTTAACTTATTTCATTCATGTAAATGATTTGTATAACTATTGAGGGTTTTGAACCTGACTAGTTTTCTAACAATAACTTTACGTTTTCATCATCGTTCAGGGTTTAAACGTTTTCTGATTTATAAGTTCAAACTGCCCACCGAATTTTTTTGCCAGTGAAGAGCCGTTTATATTGCTCACTACTTTAAAATTTTTCTTCCAAAATTGTTTGTTTGGTACCTACTGCTGTAATCTAGCCTTGGTTATGGAGCAACTGCAAAGTTTTATCCAGATATATTAATTCGCTAATACTTCCCATTCCAGCCTCAAAAATTTGTCATTTTTTGTAGTAAATCTCTCCTAATTTAGGACAAAATGCTGGATAATTTTTATAAAACTGATGCATTCCCTGGTCGACGAAGACAAGTAAATTTTCCTTTCAGTCGTACAGCCGTCGTAGAAGCCTTCTGGACAGCACTATTTTATGCACATTATACAATATGGATGAAACCTTGTTTTCTCTATCTGTTTAAATTGCTTACTTCATCTGTACAGAACTTTTTTATGTAATTCTCCTTCCCCTACAGGGCACAGCCCAACTATAACTGTTTTTTTGCAACTTGCCACTCAAAGGTATACCACAGTTGACAAGCGAGGTTATAAGTTCATGACTGTCTCTGTAAAAAGGTAACATTCTTTCTAATCTCGGCGGTGTCTTCTAGATAATTTGAATTGTCCGGTTCAAAAATAATTCATTTGATCAGCGGGTGCTGTAGAAGTTATAAAAACGAAAGCAGTAGTTGCAGATTTAGCTGCTGTAATTTCTGCACCATTTTGTGCTCCAAAGAAATGATTTATTCCTTCGAGAATGGACCGACAGCATACTATTCTGCTTCTAAATGCTTTTATATACCAGCATATTCTAGATGGTGATAGTTTGAAACAAATTGGCAAGTATTACTAATAGCTAGACTAACGGTGTTTTACGTGATCTCGAGGTTGTCATGAAATTACAGCTTTCAGTTGGAAGGTAAAAACAGAAGTCTAATATGTTGGAGTAGGTGTCGCTCTCACTTAAATGCTGTTTGTAACTTTGATCGCTCAATCTTGCCTCCAGAACTGTTGATATTTTTTTGTTGTTTTCTGTGCCTTTATGTTCATTCCAGTCCAATCAAAACTGCTTAGCTTAATGAAGACATTGTAGTCAATTCAATCATTATACTTCCCACCCATTTTGCAAAAGCGTCTCATTGGTATTTACATGACCTTCACTGTAGCTGTTTGCAACAGATTATGGATGATGAGAGATCAATTTTTCTAAAAAATATACACGTCCTCATGCAGGCTTCACTGACTAAACACTATTTTGCATGGAATACAAAAGTTATAAGGAAATGTGAAAGAACATGGCAGTGTGTATTTACCATATATTCTGTGA